TCTTATCTAAAGTTGTAATCCTATACAGAGTGAGTTAAAAGCAGTGTCAGCTCATGTGTGAAAGCTCACAATTCAGACTTTTCTTTCAATTAACACTTTGTTTTCTGCAGTGTTGTGCAATACAATTCATTACAGCCTTTTTTTGTTTTCAAAATAACAAAAATTATAATTATTATTTGATTTATAATTGTTAACATTAAAGGATAAAAAAAGACACTGTTACAAACATTATATGTATCTGGTGTTTAACGGGAATTTAATAATGAGTTTATCATCTAAATTGGCTATTAATTTTAGCATAATGTTTATTTAAATTTGTTAAGATTATAGGTAACAATATGTATTTGTATCTTTTTAAGACTAAAACATTTCATAAACAAGACAGTTGTAAATAATAAAGATATACGTGTAATCAAGACATTTCATTCTATTTTCTACACAAATGCAAATGCTTTCTCTTTATTGGAGATAAATAAATGTTAGGCTGCATCTTATCAGCCAAAGTCATGAATTTTATTGCTTTATTACTCACTCTAGGATAATCTATTGTCTACTGAGCTGTAGACTTTTTAAGGTCCTTATAGGTGTCTCAAACTTGCTCATCGGCAACACAATGACTTTAGACAGACGGCGTTTTTAATTATTTAAGGCCAAGGTTTTCTTTAAAGGAATGCATATTTTGCTCCGCTCCCCTCAGGCAGAAGGTTGTAGAGAATTAAGTGCAGAACTACTAGACTGAGGAACAGCTTCTACCCTTAATCGGTTAGGCACATATAAATCCCTAATCAGGATTATCACTGTGAGGAATCCCTGTAATGCCACTTTGATTGTTATGTGCTGCTGATCTCATGCTGCTGATTATTTCATACTGCTGTGTTCATTCGTACTCATCTACTCACACAGACTCATGTTCGTGCTGCTGTTGTTCAGTGTATTGTTTTGCACTATTCGTGTTTAGCGTATTCTTAGTTTAGTGTATTTCTTTGTTTATATCTTAGATCCTTATTTACTGTTTCTTTTTACATTTTATATTTTTGCTGTTGTTGGATGTAACTGGGACCCTGTACACAATTTTGTTCCACCTCATGAACCACATGTGATGTGAATGGTAATAAAACCTACTTGAACTTGAACTTAATCCACCTTTAATGCCAGAGATCATCAAGAAGAGATCATCGTATGATGAGAAATGACAGAGTTGTAGCCCTTTTGGTCCAGTCTTAAAAGTAACATGGTGCATGATGTCACGTGAGATGTCACCCTCAGAGTAAGTGTTGTTAATGACTCTCAGCTACTACCACATCAGATCTTAGCTCAACATCCGTAGAATTGGCTGAGTTATAGCCATTTGTGTGATGGTAAATGTTGATTGTGGTGGCCATCTTGAGTTGCATTGACTCCCAAAGTGAATCATTTATACATGTATATTTATTAATTATTTTCTAAAAGCCTTATTAAAATCCATTCAGTGGTACATGAGATGTTTTACAAACTGACATACAGGGTGGGCTCCAACGGTTAAAGCCACAGTTTGGTGCAAAGATCTGGCACAATGAGTAGCACTTGGAATATGTATCGTGAATGACTCTCGATGGTTTGTTGTCTGTAGCAGCCATCTTGCATTGGGATGGGTCCAAAATGTTATTATTTACAGAACTACAGCTAAAATCATTATTTCCTGAAAGATGCATTAAAATCTATTAAGTGGTTTATGAGAATTGTTTGGTCACAGAAACAGACACAAAAACAGAGGCGACAAAATATATAATTTGCCTTCAACAGGAAATAATTATATTAATCACCAATAAGTCCCAGCTTTATAAACAATCTGCAGTGAGCATGCTTTGTGGCCTCTCTGGCTCAAATCCCCAGCAGCAAACTCTTCAAGTCCTGTTAGTTGTGAGCTGAAGCTGCCACGTATTAAACTTGTCAATGCACATCCCCCAACTACCTACTGCCAGTTCTTGGTTTGTCCTTGACATTTCTGAGGCGCTCCCAGTGGTCTGACACTAACATTGTGGCCCGTCATCCCATTTCTAATACATCCACAGGAAACAAATGTTCACTACGTGTCAGAACATAATCAATGTCATTCATTCAGCTGCCAGTGGTCAGAATATTTTTGCTCTTTTGTCTCACTCGTTAAAACTTTATTAAATGATAAAGCTCTGTACATGTTGTATAACACAATCATTGTTCCACATTTAATCTATTGCATTGATGTTTGGGGGAAAGCATGTAAAACATTTACAAAGCCAATTTTTATTTTACAGAAAAGAGCTGTAAGAATTATCACCAGAAAGCATTACAGTCACCCATCAAGCACATTATTTTATCAACTGAAGTTATTGAAGTTCCATGATTTGATAGATTATAGTATTTTATCAGTTATGTATAGGGCTCAAAATAACACATTACCAAAGAAATTTTGTTAAAAGACAAAGTTGGTATAATCTTAAGGGGATAGAGATATTTGTCAAACCAAAATTCAGAACTAGTCTGAAGGGAAGGTCTACCTCAATCCAAGGAGTTGGATTGTGGAATGGTCTAGAGAGTGATGTTAAAAATGCCAAGTCAATGTGTACATTTAAGAAAAAGATCAAAGCTGGATTGTTAAAAAAGTGTATATGAAGTAGCTTAGGGTGTATTTTGTATTAGAATCCAAGCAAACAGTTACCAGAACGCACTCTGTCAAAATAAGGGCGTTCCCGGATCTTGTTCCAGCTAGGCCTGTCAGGATAACAAATTTTGCTGGGTGATTGTCTCATTGCAATAAATGGTAATAGTGTTTGAAATTGGACAATATTAATAATTATTGTCAAATTTAAGAAGAAAAGTTGGTTAATTTGTTTTGAGTGTAGTACATTTTTTCGACCACCAGATGGCAGTATACGACTGTTTGAACCGACGGATGGACAGTGAGGGAGCGAGTAGCATGTCTCTTTAAGAAAAATGGTAGGGAATCCCATTGACATGACATGGGCTGTCTCTCCTCCCTTTTTTTCAGTTCTCAAAATGGTGGATGCTCGGTGTGGTTTGAGCCCTTTAGCATAGCATTTTTCACACAAAGCTTTTAATAAAATATCAGTGAACAAGTTCTCAGCTTATTTTTGCAGAGAAAAACAACTTTTTACGCAAAGGCATGGGTTTCAATTGTGAATTTTGGAGCTTCGACAAGACAGAGGTTTTTTTCCCCCAAGTTCGGCCTGTTAGCTTAGCTCGTAGCGTAGCTTCTCAGCTTAGCTGCTTTTAATGATCCAAAAAGGCGATTTTGGATGGTTAAAATGGATTTTAAAGAAAAAGGGAGGGGTCAGTGAAGAGCATTGGAGTTGAGCCTTTTGTCATCCAGTGTCTTCAGTAGAAAGAGAGAGACACGAACAAACGATAAAGCCGATAAATGAAAATGAGGTCAATAATTTTTGTTTATCATGCGATTAACTGATTTATTGATTATCGTGATAGGCCTAGTTCCGGCAGGATCCAGCTCAAATTAAGCCTTGTAAGCAACTGCATTTTTTTTTATATTTCAGCCTTGCCTACTCATGGAAACAAGCCCCTAAATAGTGTTTTCTGTAAATCCCATTGTTGCACTTCTGTTTGGAATAAATGTAACCCTTTTTAAATGATACTTAAAGTTAATATAAAGAGGTGTGAGTGCCAGTGTAAACATGCACATATGGTTTGCGCTGCAATGCGATGTCTATTTCAACTGATCTAATGAACATCTTAGAGTACTTTTCTATTGTTAAAAAAAAAAAAAGTCTTACTATAAAGTAAATTGGTACACATTTAAAACACAGTAAGATTCCACTCGTTTCAGTCAATGTGAAGTGATATAATGCAATATAGTATGGGGAAAAACTGGTGATGAGCGTGTAACTCATCCATCTCTGACTAATTTTGTGTAATATTATGTTAATAGACTAAAAGCCAACAGCATCCTCTTTTTCTGAATAGAACAGTTTTGGTTTGGAGAGAATTTACCTTCATTTAGAAGTTACTCATTCTGCCTGTGATAGGGCCGTCAGGGTTATTTTTGAGCAGTGATGTGCATTTAGATTAATGGCTCAAAACAAAACTCTATCTTGGAAATGGCTGTGTTCAAAAGTCTATGGCTCGGCAGCCGATAGCCCATCTGAGCTGACAGCGTTAAATTAGTGCTGGTATCATGGATGTATTAGCGCTTGGCCCATAGTTTATCACCTACACTCACCACACAGAATCACACCTTAAATCAACCTAAGAGCCGTGTCATTTGTGACAGAGCCTCGTGTTGAGCGGCTCCACCAGTCTGATGTCATCTGATCCCGCTGGATGAAAGCCCATCCACAGGAAATTCAGAAGCACCCTAATGGCACCTTTTTGAACCGCTCACCCGGGAGGATTGAGTGTGAACTGTAATTGGCACAATATATCTCAACCCATCAGTTTCTGTGGGGAATAAAAAGAAAGAGGCTAGACCTTTTTACTCCCGTCGTGACACTCCAGAGGTCACCAACACGTGGAGACATAACACTACCTCCGAAATTAAAATGCGTCACAGGCTGCACTTGTAAAGCTGCCTCGTCTGCAGAGCTGTGTCATATTTCAGCGAGGTTTGACACTCCTAGTGCTTCACAGCTCACATAAAAAAGCTCCATTTTCTTCTGCCGAGCTAGACTATTGTCGAGTGCTTCATCTCTTATCTCTGCTGTACTCATTCTGGTCTTTCGCAGTAACACATTGTTCATTGTCTTTGGTTTAAGAGAGACTAATGAATGTGATTGCTTTATCCTCCCGATGCATCTCTCAGCCTGTTTGACTTAAACTGGAAGGTTCTCAGTCATAATTTCCTGCGTGGCACACTGGTAATAAAACTGAATGACTACTAGATTGCGTTTTGTGATATTTTTCTCCCTAATGGTTCCTTTTGAGTCGTTCACGGGGTTACGATGACTCCGATCGCATCTCCTTGTCAGGCTGACATCTGTCTTTCTGCTTTCCCTAAATTTATGTTTCAGATTCAGAATGCAGATGATGTCTTGATTACTCCCTTGGAGAAATTTCGGAAGGAGCAAATCGGTGCAGCAAAGGTAAGAGACCACCTACGTGGGCAATTAGCGGCTGAGCAGCACTGGGGATTTCATGTGGTCTGACACCCTCGCCCTTCCCCCACTCTCCCGTCATTTCCCCCACCATCTGTAAATCATTAATTTAAACTAAAGCATGACACTGCCAAGAAAAGTGGCCTTTTTCTAATTAATCAATCAAGTAGGGATAATAGACTGTAATTTTAATTCTAAAAAACAGACTAACCTTCTAGGTTTAAGTTAGTTTATATATATATATATATATATATATATATATATATATATATGTGTGTGTATATATATATATATGTGTGTGTATATATATATGTGTGTGTATATATATATGTGTGTGTATATATATATATGTGTGTATATATATATATGTGTATATATATATATATGTGTATATATATATATATATAT